TAGATTCAGTTTTAATTGTTCTCTGTGGGGCCTGTCGCCTCTAACCCTTTCTTTAACCTAAATCTGTAAACCTGCTACTGCATTTCATGGTGATTGAATCCAAACAGACAAATCAATTTTAAAATGTAAATGTGGAAGCTATTTTAAAAAGAAGAATTAGCTTTAAAAAAGCCAGCTCTAAAATAATTTATCTTTACCTAAATAAAAAGTCCCAAAACTTGGTTTTATTTTATTGACAGAATGTTAGAAACATGCCTGTTATCTTATCAGACCATTATTGGGCTTCCTACTGTGAATTACTGATACATAACTTATTAGCTGCTGTTAACACCTCAAGGTACCTAAGGCCAACCAAACAATTGAGTTAGAAGATGTAACAAACGTTTTTGTTCCACATTTTTTCAAACTTCGCAATTTAATGTTACATCTGTAACAAAAATCTGCACTACAGAATTATAATATTATGATATAAAAGATCTTTGAACTATAATGTTTGGTTTGAAAATGGAGCTGTTTATACTTGAGTTGTGATGGTCAGCTTGTAATTGTACATCACTGTCAGCACATGTTCTTAGAAAGTGCAGCTGTGCACAACGTCTTAAGAAAATATTCTCAGCGTGGAGTCAGTCAGTGGTGGGATTTGGGAAGTTATCAGAAAACAAAAATATTAGTGCTCTGAAGGATACCCAAGTAAGTAAAGATCTTTTTGCTTCATGAGCAGACTACGGTGTACTTTTTAATTCTGAAGGAAATATTCATCTTGAATGAGATTAACAATAACATTTTCTCCTTGAAGGAAAAACAAACTGTAACGCAACTCCTCTTGAGAAGCTGATTGGCAGATTTTTTTCTTAATCGCATTGTTTTTTTAGTGAGCTTGGGCTCGTGAGGGCTCTAAGGACTAATGAGATCAGAAGTCAAGTCTATAATCACTCTTGCGATACGGGTGTATATTTTTAAATTTCTTTTTAATTTAATATTCATCTCTGTTTACCTCAATAAAATTCACATTGTCTTGGTTTGCAGAGGCATTAATATTACCCCTATGACACAACTTCCTTTCCAAAAACTACATCCAGTCTATAATAAGATAAAAATGAGATTGTTTTTTTTTTCTTCTGTCCAAAAGCTTTTCTGAACCAAATGTGAAGTGCTTCTGATTAACCTCAAAGGCTGCAGTGAGAATGAAAAGGATAGCCGGAGTATGCAGCACTAGATGGGAAACGCAGGAATCGTTTCTAGTCACAGAGGAGACGCGTCTCAAACAGCAACCTTTGAAACTGCAGAAGAGCACAGCCACTGCCACTGCTGGGTTTTACTCAAGTTGAACACGCTGCTAGAACACCCCAAGACAAGCCTGAACATCGCTGCCTTTCACAATCCCTAATAGCCATTAAATTTCAATCAATTCAACCTAACACAAGTGTACTTCAGTCGCTCTTACAGTTCTTCATGGACAGAGACACAAAGGTCCCGTCTGACATATTGCATTGTTTGCCACACAAAGAGCCACTGCAGATGAGCCCTATGAAGAGGTTACTGTGCACTTCAGGAATGATGCTCTTTTCCCTCTACAGTATCAGTCCTCCTGCGTCCTCTACAGTACATACAGAATCGAGTTGCTGCGGGGCTCTTGTTTCAAGAAGCTTTTTATTACGGGTGTGTTGTCTTCAGTGTTCGTTAAGGCTCAGGAATGAGATGAATGGGACACGGGAGTGGGATCATTTTCTTCTCTATTTTTTTTTTTGTCTGTGGATCTGGGACTCTTTTGATTTGAAGAAGAGGTTCCTCTCATTAAACGTGAAATTAATGCTGAATGGGGCATTGTTTTATAGAGGCCGTAAAGCTGGGCTTCAAAGCCGAACTTGCGCCAGAGAAGGGATGGAGGGGAAAGGGGGATTGCTCAGAAGTTCTGCATGCAACCTTCAGAACACCAAGTGTCTCTCATTCTGATGCAGTAAATAATAAATGAGGTCCTGGAGAGAATGTGGTCAATTTTAGGATGGCACTGCAGCATCGTAATTTAAAGCAGCTTTCAGGTGGCAACAGTTAGACAGACTGCTATTATCTAGAGAAATATGTTACCCCAGTTAAGGGTGTTTCTTTTACAGAAGTCTCTCCAAACAATTAAATCAAGAGAAAGTATAACATTAAGTTACCTAATTATATGGTTTTTCAAATCAGTGCAAAACAGAGGAACAGTATTAATACTGTCATCCAAATCTCGAGCACGGTTCCAATCTAATAAGTGATGAGTGTGTTAAATTTTGTGATTTGATTTATGATTTCTGATATTCCTCAGAAATTAAAAAATACAGCTAATTGGGGCAGTAAACAAAAAAGCTATGCACATAAATATAGCAAATACATTCTTGTTTTGCAATATGTGTCATAATATATCTAGCCTTCTTAATATTTCAATACTGACATACTGTATACTGGCATTTATACTGTTCCAGTTGTAGGAAACAATGAGAGTTTATACTATAGACAAATTGCTATGCACGTAAAAGCTTTGGGGCATTTCTTTCAGATTAATCATGTATCAGCTGCTATTTTGGAAAATTCTTAAGTGCAACTCTAGTCATCAGCCTGCACTTTTAATAAACTCAGTGTCGGCTAGTCTGGCCAGCTCAGGTCTGGCCAGCAAGGAATTTCATTTTGGGAGGATGCCAAAAATGACATCTAATGTTAAATAGCTTAATTGGTACTGTGTTCATGTCTGTCTGGTAAAATAGTCCGGTTCTTGTCTTAACTTTTGAATTGACCCAGTGGGGAGTTCTACTCAGTTTTCATTCAAACCTCCCGGAGGCTCCTTATGCATGCCAGATTTCATCGGTATTACACGGTTTTTCTGACACGTTTTAAAAAGTCTCTTTTACAGCATTTGGTTCATTAAATTTTCCACAGATTTCCACAGAAGAAAACCCAATCAATACACCCCCGAGTAAAAAGGAACGTGTGAAAAACGCAGCAGAATGGCGGTTGGGAAGATGAAAGTAACATCCTAATCACAGATCCGGGAGTCTGATGACCAGATCTGGCCTGCTGAATAATCTGAATAGCCCATCATTTCTTTGCGTCTTTTCAGTCTCTTCTGCCTGACTGCTGGAACTCTTCATAGAGCACAATAGTAAATGCACTAAAACTTTTTTTTCTTATGCTAATCACTGCAATCAGGCCCTGACATAAAAAAACACACTTCCCACCAGCTAGCTTTCTTGAGGACTTAAATTGGCCATTTAGAACTTTTCTCCGCATTTTTTAATCTTTGAAACCTCTGTTTATGCTCAAGAGATGTCCCCTTTTTTTCTGAAGAAATCTTAACGAAATAGGTTTTATTCCTAACATTTGCAGTAACAAGCTTGTGGCTACTTGCAATTCTTTAATAATTCATACGTACACTAGTTTTAATGACCCAGAGCTCTTGTAACTTGGTTTACAAAATTGGCACATGAAAGCAGGATGTTGGAAATTTCAGCATTAGTGCCCTGAAGTGCTTCATTAGCCAGTCCCATTCAGTCACCCCTCCCACAAATAAAAGTTAAATGAAAATAAACTGAGCGTCTCCACATTCAAATGATACCTCTCCGGCTGTCTTCTGGAGGTCTGTACCGGGCTAAAGGGTGGCTAAACTTCGTTACTCTTCTCAAGGGTATAATCATTACAATTCATTACTCTGTTTTGAAAAAAATAAACCTCCAGTAAACACGGCAGTGCTTGAACGACACAAAAAGCACGAGTGTTTGTTGGTTTTACGGTCTGGAATGCAAACAGCAAACCAGCAGCAAGCTCAACAACTTTCAACAATCAGCCTGCTATCTTCCTGACCTGAGAGATTTAGCGGACGGCTTTTATTGGCCTTAACTGCAGTACTTCAGGCGTAATTGTGTCAGTCTTTATTCCGCAAGTGGTCAAACACTATCCTGGCCTCTCCTATCATATTCAGCAAGTACACGGCTCCCTCCACATGCCCTGTAACAAGGCATAAACATGTCTTGTTAAATAATGCTTAAATTGCGATGTGGTGGTTACGGGACGTTTATCTGGTATTTAAAGTGTAAGAAACTGCAACAGGAGACCAGTACATTAATCCAAAGAAAGTCTTTAACGAAATCAGAAATGCAAAACGTTTTCTGCAACGATTAATGTGAAATGCCAAATGTGTTGTTGTTGTTGTTGTTGTTGTTGTTGTTGTTTTTTTCAAGCCTGTCGATGCAAAAACGGCTAATTTCAGTTAATTACGATGCACTTTAAGGCTGTTTGAAAGTTGCGCTTCAACATCTTCTTAAGAGCTAACCGGGCAGGTCCTCTGTGTTGGATTTGAAACTGGTGTGCGCGGGCAAGCGGGCTTGATTCCGAACAGGTAGGACAAACATGCAAACGCGCTGCACACTGAAGCACCATGTGATCTCTATCAGAGCAGCCGGAGTTACCGATACTTTATCTCTACACGCTGTGTGCACCGGATATATGGGAAATTAAAAGGAAATCGAGGAAAGATTTCTAAGAGGAGCGTTTGTTTTAGTTTCGCGATTACTTACGAGAAGGTCTGAATCCATCTGATCGCTCTGAAAACTTCTGTAGTACGAACCGCTAATGAGATTGGCGCCCAAGACGTTTTTGATCAAATCACTTCACATATGGGTTGCATTGCTAGAGCGCATTTTTGAGATTCCAGTGCCAAATAAGTGGACAGTGCAAATAAGATTTGAAAAGTAACGTCGGTGCCATCTCGCCTTTCGTGTTTTGTTGATGCATTTTTGTTGAATACAAACAACAGTAACTGTAGAACTGCAGAAAATGTGGATACAATTGCTGAAAGGACAACACGAGACACCTCGCATACACTTAGACAAGCACACCCTTTACATTACTTTTGATTACATTTAACTTTTAAAAATATACCACATGAAAACAAGTTTAGACTAGTTGGTAATTTTTAAATGTTAAACTATTAACGTTAGTAAAACCAAGAGGAAATCGTTACATTTACCTACCTCAAGGATGGTGTGTAATGTCGGTGGTGATTTGACCCCGGTGTCGCAGAATTAAGTTTGTCCAATTAAATCTTCAGTCTAAATGCGATCGAGTAGTTACTTTTACGGGATACTTTGTAGGTCAGAAAGTAACAAGATGCAAGTCCCGTTTAAGGTGCTGAGAAAATCCATCTACCTCATATCAGAACATAGGGGGACTCGGGATAAGGTGAAAGAAAGATTGGAGAAAGTTCAGTGTAACTTTGCTTCTCAGGATTATTCATAAAGTTAAGGGAGAAGAGTACTGCTGTTACATTCCACAGTCCATCATCTCGACTCGGCAAAGTTTTCTAATCCTTTTCTTTAAAAACAAGGCTTCGCGTTGTATGTTTTACAGGCTATAAAATATGGAGCAATCTGTATCGGAGACGACTTCTGTCTGTCGCTTGTTCTCACACGAGTTCCACTACAGAAATCCCCAGCCCGATCTGTTTTCAGTCTGACCCCCTCTCTCCCTCTCTCTATCTCACTCCTCTCTACTTCCCTGGTGAGTTCCACCATTTGCTACACCAGATGGGATGGGCTTGCTGAATCATGCAGTGAAGTTAGAGGAAAGTTTTTATTGTTCTTATTTTTCCACACACAAAAAAAGAAAAGCAAACGGGAACGCGATGCCCCCGTCCTGAAGGGTGGCTCGTCTTCAAAAAAACAACAGAGCTATTTCAAGCATGTTTAATGGTGAAGCAACTCCGTTTTCCGTCACGTTTAGTGAAATTTAGAACCGATACCCTGAAAAAAAAAAACGACTGTGTAGCTACAGTATACATGCTACAATAATGCAATTTATAGCACAACTATTTCCGGATTCCACATTGCAACAAGATTGCATTGATAATTTTAACCTTCTGTTCATTGTCAAGCCAAATTTTCAAATACACAAATGCCTAGTGCGGGGACCTGCTAGGCTCTGTTGTTTTGACCAAGTCCTTGCTGAGACCGCTTCCTTTAATTACTACATTCCAAAGTATGTAGGGAAGTGGACGAAATGATTACGAGTAAAAAAAAACATTAGATTTGTAGGATTGCCTGTGTAGTAATAATAGCACGGATATCTGAATATAGGAAAACGTCATTCTTACAATTTTTTATTCGCTTTTGCTTTGCATAATTCCTAACTAAAACTGAATTCATTAAACGGTATAACATCGTTTTATTGCAGTGCAATGCTGTAAAGCGGTTAAGGTGAAACGCAGTTTTACGTAAGTTAAAATGTTCACAATGAGAAAATGAGAGACGATTTTTTCCCCCACTTTGGTTGGGGGAAAAAAAGGCAAAAGTGCAAATTCACAAGCCAGAGTGAAACGAAATATTTTTTGTTTTAAGAACTAACAGTTAACAGTTTGTGTTTCTGAAGTCATTTATTTAGTTGTTACAGCATTTTTATGTCTGTGTATAATTCAGCATAATAATAACTCAAGCAAATGTAAATTTTAAAATATAGGATTAAATGTTCGTTCTGCGAACTTCACTGGTCGTTCAAGCAGAACGTCTGAAAAGAATATCAAAAGCCTTAATGTATGAATAAAAAGGTATGGTTTCTTTAGAACTGGGGGGAAAAAAAACAAATTCCTACACTATAGACTTTTACATTCTAAATGTAAGCTATAGTCTAATGTATGAAATTGTATGTTCTCGTTTAACAAATTAATTGATCAAATTAACTATGGTGGCTCCGCTTTTTTCTGTGTGCTAGAAACCTGTTCGGAGAAATGAGGACTGTTCCGAGCTTTTAGAGGAGTGATTAATGTATTCCAAAATTAAATTCGCGCAGTAGCTCATAATGGTGTTCAATAAACCCTGTTGATATGGTTTCCTCACTTTGTTGCGATACTGCGATGCTCATCTATTCGTGTTTTTCCTTAGTTTCAGTGGTTGAACCTTTCTTAACCGATTTTACTGTCTGTTCATTTTCCTAAAGATAACACAACAGCGACAAACAAAGTCAAAGTTACAAGTGAGGACTGACTCCTACGTTACAAATCTCTCCCAATACTTGCTTTGGAAAGAAATGCTGAAAACTAAAACAGTTAATTTAATTAGAAACGGCGACATCTGGCGGAATACTGCGACAATGGCATGTATTAAATGACTCGCTAAATAAAAGTGAAAAGTTCCCGTCCCTGGTCCTGAAGGAGCAGGACCGTCTATGCAGGCTTAAAATGTCTTAATCAATCTGCTTTCTTGTTTAGATTTTTTAGATAATTTGTTTCTGAGTGTTACGTGTACCCTTGAAGTTGGGTATTTATAACTTTACACGGCTTTTTCTCAAACGGCTTGGTGTTATGTCTGCTTAAGCAGCTGTTACTAATTGATCAATCAATGTTGAACAGAAGCAGGTGGGGATGACTTTATATCGGCCGCTTGTGTTTCTCAAGCGTCTCTTTCTTCTGCAGGTCCAATTGCTTTCTTATCAGGCCGCACACCTGAATGAGAGCAGTCCTGAAACTCAGGAATTGGTTAAGGGTTGATACCAATTAAAATTGTCATTGGGAGTTTTTAAGAGCTGAAAACAAATTCCCAAAATATGCCCAAGCAGAAAACTGAAATCAATGAGCCTGTGATTAAAGACTCAACTGGAGCTAAACCCAGGGGAGAGAGCATTCGTTCAGGGCCAGGACTGGGAATCCCTTGAATCAGTTTTTATTGTTGTGTACTTCAATAAGTTAAATATTTCACATTTAAAAGGAATCTGGACGTAACATGGATATTTTAATAAAGAATTGCTTTATTCCCATGCGAATCATGCAATAATGACCGTTTTATAAAATTGCTTACAATGTTCTTCATGATCATAATTAAATGTGATGGTTTTGTAAGAATGTGACCTGCATGCTGGTTGTGTATTTAGTCATATTATGGGATGGAAGCTGGAGGTGACACTCGCTTATGGAAGAACATGTGAATAAAAGAGGCTACACATGAGAGGAGGCCATTTGACCCATCAAGTTACTCGTGTAAGGGATTGCTTTATAAAATTAACTAGGCATTGGGGAATATAATTTTAAAAGCTCATCGGTTACAGTGATCTATATAATGTATGTACTGTACAGTTAATATGTGAAGCAATACATTACCTATTAAAATAATGTTGCCCCAAATTCTTATTAACACAAGCAACCTGTAGCTAAAATAGATTCTTTTTCAAAGGTAGCTTTCCCCAGCATGGCAGGGGAAGAAGTGCCTCCTGTCCTCTGTTTTAAACACACCTCTTCTTGGTTTCCACTGCTGCCTCTGAAGAAGTCTTGTGGGTGTATGTTGTCAGTGCCTTTGAGGATTGTGAATGCTTGAATTGGGTTCCCTTGTTTTCAAAGCTAAAAAGATTTGGTTCGCTGGAGCCTGGGAATATACCTGGTTTTCCGGAGTAGCATTTTTGTTTTTCATTAGGGTGTCCTTAACTGAACACAGTAGTCAAAATACTTCCTTACAAGTGCATTGCAAAATATATAATATTCATAATCACACCTATTGCCCCTATCTTCCACATTGTGTCTGCTGAGGAATTCTTCTTTCCTGTACTTGTCACATCTGTTATTAGTTTTTTGTTGCCATGTCAGTAATGGTGTTTTTAAAGTGAACGGAAACACGCCTAAATTATGCAATGCTTAAACTCCTCATTAATCTTGGTTGTGTTTTCCCCCCTGGATGATTACCTAGCAATAAGAAAATGCCTGCAAAGAGAAAAGGGCTCATTAAATATATAAGGTTTAGTAACTATCAAAACATTTTGTAAAGTTTCATCAGCACTATGCTGTTCAATGCAGCAAGTGTACAGCTACCCATAATCACTTTAAGGTAGAGATTAACGTTCTCCGATATTAATGTTTAAAAAAACTGGAGAGGCCAAAAGGACCAAGCTCTCAAATGTGTGTTGTTCATAGAGTTTTTTTATTCTCATGCTTGTTTTTAAAGGCTTGTATACTAACGTCAGGGCTTTTTTTTGTTCCTGTGCCAGTAGATCCTAAAAACAGGAATTTTAACGAGCAAGCTTCAGACCTGTTCGTAAAAAGCTCAGCCTTTTGAGGGGGGATTTGGGATGTGGGGCGTGGTCACAGAAGAAAGCTGAGAAACACTAATAGCCTCTCCTAATTTTAGTTGTGAGATCATAGCTTTAAGATTTTCCAGACTTTCTCCTACATTCTTTAAAGAGCAAACTACCCCCAGACCGACCCTAATGCAGTAAAAGTAAATGAATTATACCGATACTAATCATTACTCTTTGGAAATAAAAAAAGGGTTCTAAATTAAAAATGATTTCTTTTTTATTTTTACATAAAAACACAAAAATTTTATTCTTTTTCTCTTTATTTTCCTCATAGAGGCTAGATGTTTAGAAACAAAAAATATACTGTAACAACTGCATACGCATGATAAAGTTTACTTGTATTTTACCTCCTCAAAAGCAGCAGATGAGCACATCTTCAAACACGGACACCATAAGCTTGATTTCCAAAATAACGCGCTCATACAGGTCCTTATTTTCTGAGCCTTCCCATTGTGTAGACTGGCAGGATTTCTCTCTGAATCAGGATGCAGCAGTTATGTTTTCTGCTAACTCTTTTCAGTTACTGTATGTGTCATGTATGGAACAGACAAAAATAAAGAAAAAATGAACAAAAAGATCCATTTACCTGATCCATTGCACAGGTGCACAGCGTTATCTCCTACTTGCTCATTGGATCGAGTGTCCACCAAACTGAATTGATATACAGAATGTTAGATGTGTTACCAGGAGTTTCTGCTGAAGAGAAGATATAGAGGGATGTTTTCTGCATCTTTGCAAACACTCTGATGAAGACATCTTTCTCAAAGCTTGGCTGTCCATTAGGTGTTTTTTGTTTTAGTGGTGCCATCTGGTTAGTATTTGCGAATAAGAAAACAATCCGTGAGATTATATGTACCTTCACTGCATGTTTTCCACATGTTCAGAATATGATATGCTTATAGCGTATCAGCTGTCACACCTTTAGAATTTTAACATATAAAACTAGCGTAAGAACATTAGAATTGTTACCGTACAAACAAGAGAAGGTCATTTCACTCATCTAGCCTGCTGGATAGTTAGTAGTTAACTGATGTGATGGTCTCACTCAGCCATCTCTTTAAAGAAACCAAGGTATCTCAGATCAGGTGCCTCAAATTCTCGTTTTTAAATACTCTTCCACATAATTTCTTCTTGTGCGCTCTGTTTTGCTGTTCTTTCTGAAGGAATCCACTGGGCTCACTTTGTGTGTGCCCTTGAAAACTTTGAATACTTGTATCAGGTCCTTATTTGTTAAGGACTGTGAAAATCTCTGGAAAGATACGTTTTTTTGTGTGTAGAACACCTTAAAAACAGCATCAGCAATGACAGTATTTATTCCTAAGGTCAATTTATTTGTTTTTTGACATTTTTTAAAAACATTTTTACATGGTGCACGCAGAGGGAAGAAGATAGTGCTTGTACAGCACACTTACATTGC